CACGTACACTTGCCTTTGATTTCTTAGGGGTTGGCACATATTATATGGACTTTTCAGATCCTCATGAATATGTCCTGTGTTGTATATATTCTGGCATATTTATGTTGGTCAAATATTCAATACCAAATTCTTTTATGCTATCAAGTTTTTCCTTTGCTATCCCATCTGGACCTTCAGCTTTAGAAGCTCTCCGCAGTGAATGTAGAGCATGTTCTTCTTCTGATTTAAGAATGTTTGGACCCTCATCAATGATTTGGCGTTCTGGGGCCAATCTTATAACGAGTTGCATTTGATTCAAATCAATGGCAACTTGAACTTAATTGCTACTCCTATATCTTTAGTACAGTTGCAATGTATTTGAATCAATCACAACTCTTTACAGTGCAGGGCCCTGGACCTCTTTAATCATCAACTAGGTCATGGGTATAGTATTCCCCTTTTCTGTTCTTAATGTCTCCTTGCTCAAGGAGGGAAGTTGTTCATCTTTGCTTTTGTTAGACCTGCCTGCTGTCATCTTCTCTTCCTTTCATAAAAATGCTTCATCTCTCTCTCTCTGTGCATTTCATTTGTTCGGTGTGTCATAGAAAAATACAAAATACAAAAATACATGACTTTGTTTTAGAAGTTGTTTTTCGTTTCTGTTTTTGTTTGTGAGGCACATGTGATGATATTCCTTGATGAAACATCCCCCACCTGTTAATGGGGGTAAGAAATGCCTTTATATAATCCTAAAAATAACCAGAGATTCTGTTTACAACCTTAAAAATTACTAATAAGATACACTCTCTCAATAGACTACAGTAGTAAATCCAGAAAATAAAGATGCAGGCTCAAGTATATGCAGTTCAAAGTAATTCTGCTTTATCTAAGTTCAGGCAATTAATATCAAACGTACGATAGAACAGTTATATATTCCAAATACACCTTAACATCTACAGTGATTTTCTAAATTAGTAACAAATGAACATCCAAATTGTAGATTACAAATGGGTGGAACTACAAATGAACTGAACAAAAGAAAACAAGGTCCTTAATTTGAGTATGAGAGTTTACAAGTGATACATATATATTTTTTTTTAAAGAAGAAGATCCATCAATGGTAAGGTAATCATAAATTGAAAAGTATTTGTTGCCCCATAATCACAACTTTTATCCATTGCCATATTAAATAGTTGACCGCTTCAAGTTACTGCTGTATCAAAATGATATTCTGTTTAACAAGTAAATGAATAGTAATAAGCGAGGTAAGAAGAAAATAGCTGGGCATTACAAAGGCCCCTATGTGAACCTAATAAGCTGCGTGTTAATACCTGAATTATGATTCCTTTGCTGCCTAATGAGTGAACACTAACTGAAGACTTAATTGCTAGCAATCTACCAATTAAGGCAACCTTAGTATACATAAATACAGTAGTCACACATTCAACCTGGGCCAGAGGGGTGTTCCATCAACTAAAATTGATTTCGATTGTAAAAGTCTATTTTAAGGCTTGATGAAACACCCCCTGGTAAAAGGAATCAACATGCAGTAAACTCAACACAGAAGGGTCTCTGTGACATCATGTAAAATATGAGATTACTAGAATAGCCCTTCTCAGCGTCTTCAGTTTAATAATCAGTGTTATATTACGAATCTACCTTAACATCTACGGCAATTTGCTATATATGTTTTTTACAGCAAAACCCGGAAGCGATACTAGCAAGGAACCCAAAGCATACACATTATGATTTTTAATCCCCTTTTAAAGATTAAGTTGAGTTCTGGTCACGCAACTGCATTGTAAAAGAAACATTGTGGATTCGAAAATCTGTCCCAATTGTTATGATGTTACATGCCATATTTAGAATATTATGGCATTTGAAGAGCCATGCTTTTCTGGGAACATTTTTTCTCTGATGTTCTTCCACACTTGCATAATACAATGATAATGCTCACAAATTATTTGTCACCTCTTCCCAGAACTCAACCTTCTCTTTATAGAGACACTACTCAAATCTATGGATATTTACAATGTGAGATAATATACAAACAAATAAAGTTTCTACGTACATGTACATACATTGAACATCAAGCAAAAAATCTGAAGGTATTTAGGATACATGTACATGTATGAGTAAATTTCAAATTAAACGTTTGATGGGCCTTGGGGTGACCAAAATTAGTGGATATCTAACATGAACAAACAGGAATGTGATATTTGACCCAGAATTTCTCATATTCTATACAAATTTGTTAAGATCAATTAGTACCAAATGAACATCCAAATTGTAGATTACAATTGAGTGCAACTAGCAATTTGATGTCAGATTGGAATGTGCTTTACAAATGTGCTATATACACATGAACTGAACAAAAGAAAACAAGGTCCTTAATTTGCGTACGAGAGTTTACAAGTGATTTATTTTTAAAAAAAGCGATTGATCAAAGGTAAGGTAATTGCATAAATTGAAAGTCAAATTATCAAACAATCAGCTGGTATCACTTTTTACTTGCAATTTGATGACATATTCTCTCAAAATTAAGATAGACCATAATTGTCAGTGAGTTCATATTTTTAACGAACAGACACAAAAGACTGGCAAAATTTGCAGATCTTTTGTCAATATTTTCTCAATTTCACACCCTAATCCAAAGAATTTTTATCTATATAGGTCAAATTTTTAAAGATATGGAACTGTTTGCGAGTTAAGGTCATGCACAAACTATGGTCATACCACCATACCATGTAAATCTGTGTTGAATTTACAAAATGTACCTACAGTGAAACTACAACCTGAAACATATAAACATCACAAACCAGGAGCAGTATATACATTTGAACCATTACACCATCCACCAAATATATAGATTCTGTTTACAACCTTATACATAAAGATACTCTCTCTAAATAAACTACAAATTCAAATGTTACATTAATCATTCACAACAAGATTTGAAACCATATAGGCATCCAGGCACATTTTTGCAAGGGGCTGAAGATGTTTTGCCAGAATATCAACTCTTTAATTTTCCGCAATTTTATTTGAAAATTTTGGGTCATGAAAAAGTACAAAAATTGCATATTCAGGTACCTCCTGTCTGAATATGGATATTTGGGCACCATGCTGCCCAAATATTGGGAGTATACAGAAATCTCACTTCGCTAACAGAAATTGTGCTGGTTGCCCCATTATCACAACTCATATTACAAACCTACCTTAACATCTACAGCAATTTTCTAAATTGACAGCTACATATATATGTTTTTTCTTACAGAACAGGTTGATCATCTAGCATATAAGTATTGGTGTGTACCGTACTGAAAGGTTTTGAAATCATCAAAATGATAAGAAATTTGGCCCAGTCCTGGTAAAGTTACAAGCACTGTACACAGAAAGATGGATATGGGACTACACGAACATGTCACATAAAAATCTGTCCCACTTTGTATCATCTTTGCTTTTTCGGGGAACATTTTTTCTCTGATGTTCTTCCACACTTGCATAATACAATGATAACGCTCACAAATTATTTGTCACTTCTTCCCAGAACTCAACCTTCTCTTTAAGAGACACTGCTTAAATCTATGGATATTTCCAATGTCATAATATACAAACAAATACGGTAAATATAACTAGTGTGAATCTCTGATAAATGTAACCATCACAAACGCTTTTAAATTAGGAGCAGCTAGTATATACATTTAAACCTTTGTAAAACTACTACCACAAACCCCTTAAAGCTAGGGGCAGTATATATGGTCAAACCTGTATAGAAAGAGCACCAAAAGCTGATACAAAAAGTGTTCTCTCTAGCTAGGTACATGGTCTTGACATGTTTACATTTAACATAACAATATGTGTTAAAACAGGTTTGACTGAAGATCATCATACTTATACAGAAGGGTTATTAACATGGTAAACTACATGTACTATCAAGACATGTTCTAAGTGTAGTATACAAATATACACTGTCTTGAGAGGTTCTGGTTAAAAACTATTGGCAAGAGGTGATTACTCCTGCCTTGAGGTTTCCAACTGGTTTTCCAATGAATCTGAATGCATCATCTCGAACAAGTTCTAACGTCAATGATTAACATATTTTACAGTGTCTTAAACGTTCAACGAATAATGTTTCAAACATATTCACATCCTTCAATGTTTCATTCATCCACAACAGTTCCATTTTAATAGCTGTGTGGTGAAATTTTACAACAAGTAGACCAAATGAAGGTACTGCAGTTACTGCTCAGCGTAAATTGTATGGCGTGAGCGCCGTGACCCGCTGGAGGTATTTGAAATCATGTACGCTCGCTGAATTTTCAACTCCCACATAGTACTCCTATATAGTACTTCTACTTCCAAATAGTACTTCTACTTCCAAATAGAACTTCGGCTTCCAAATAGAACTTCTACTTCCAAATAGTACTTCGGCTTCCAAATAGAACTTCGGCTTCCAAATAGTACTTCTACTTCCAGATAGTACTTCTACTTCCAAATAGAACTTCGGCTTCCAAATAGTAGTTCTACTTCCAAATAGAACTTGTACTTCCAAATGAAATTCTACTTCCAAATAGTATTCCTAAATACCGGTAGTACTGTTTCAGTGCAACTGTAAACAATTTGAAATGTTTCTGGTCACGTGAAGAGCTCTCAACCAATCAAAAAACAATACATTTTGTAGGCAGGATATATAACCCAGGGGTGGTATTCTGATCAGCAAGATTTTATCTCCCAAATATTTGATTTTATCTTTAAAAATAGATATAATAGGTACCGGTAATCTAAGACCACTTTATATCTCAGATTTTATCTTTAATTACCTCTCCAGAAACTATAGTAATGAACATGCGCGACTCTAACGCTATTGCCCATCTCATTTTGAGTGCAAGTTGAAATAAAACTTGGTAGGGACTATCCTATCTCTTGGATGTACAGGAAGATTAAAAATGTGCTACATCCAATACCCAACTGAAAAAAATTAAACACATCCTAAAACAAACAAATGAACCCCCCCCCCCCCCCCCTCCCAAAGGCCTTGCACTGGAAAGCGAAACTCGGTAGCTCCTTCATCTCCTCGTTAAGCATTAGGCAGCATGACCATTACTCATCCTGCAGAAGAGAATAAAAAACAAATATATAACAATGAGATCTTGCATGGACCAACAGTCTACCTTACTTATACCATACCATGAATTATAATTTTTGAGCATGGTTTATATCATTGGTCTTGCAAATTAAACAGAAACAAAATAGGACGAAGTTGCAGTACTCTATTGTCCATCAACAATGTGCCTAGTGACAATACAAATTAAATATCAACATTTATATTTTTACCCCTAAAAAAGGTGTTTTTTTTTTTACCCCCCCCCCCCATCCACATTTGATCCCCCAGTTAAGATTACGATAACATGCTCATGGACAGGCGCATACGCAGGGGGGGGGGGGGGGTGGGGGTTTGAGTGGTTGAACCCCCCCTCCCTTTTTGTTTGTTTTTAATTTTAAAAAAATAAAAAAATAAAAAATTGTGGTAATGGGTGACCCAAAAAAGCTGACCTTACCCCCCCCCTCCCCCCCCCCAAAAAAGAGCTCTTTCCCCCCACTCCCACCGCTTATTCAGTGGATGGCTGAGTCGTTGCGAAATTTTTGAGACCCCCCCCCCCAAAAAAAAAAAAAAAAAAAATGTCCTCTTACCCCCCCCCCCCCCCCCTCGAAAAAAATCCTGTGTACGTGTCTGCTCATGGATCATAGTATACTGCACATGTAAAGCCACTCTCTCATCCCACTTCACACATTAACCCCCCCTTTCATTAAAAAGGTGAGTACTTTCATGTTCAGTTCATTTTTAATGGAATGTGCTGTTAGACCTGATCCTGAGCACATTTTTGCCCTGTCAGTGATGTTCTGATTTTTTTGTAAAAACTTTAGAAGGAAACTTCAATTTTCTTGGGAAATGCATTGACTTTTGATTTTATAAGTTTGGTGGGTTACAATGATTCCATATTTCGATCACAATTATACCCCCCCCCCCAAAAAAAAAAAACAACAACAACACAACAACAACAAACAAAAAATAACAAATACACATCTGAATTCTACATGTACATTATATAACAACATATATGTATATTTGAATAATAAACAACTATGTTGTCATTTTCTTCTTTAAAACTAACTTCAATGTTCTACACTTATTGGGAATAAAGAAAGAAAAAGAGAATCATTGTTGGTCTTTGACTACATGCACATTTAAAAGAGAAAATAATTCTTACTCAGTGTTTCGGGTCAGATCAGGGTCATCTGTGGATACTCGTTCCATCAATTTTTCTGCATATAAAAGGGTTGAATATAAAAGTAAAATTAGAATCCCACAAAAATGTGTGGAGCAAGGGTGGGGGATTTAAGCACAAAAGAAATGGAAAACTGATACTTTCTCAAACAGTTGTATTTAGCTCTTTTAATTATCACCTACATGTATGGCACCATCAAACAGCACAAGTTGAGAAAAATATAATATAATAAACAATGGCAAAGTTTTATACAATCAAATTCACCACTTTAATTAATTTAAATGTCTTTTCTTGTATAAATATTTGTAAATGTTATATAGAATGTTTTTAATAAATGAAATTTCAAAAATAATTGTTGATTTTAATAACAATAGAAAAGTCTGTTTATGCGAATGAAAGATGTAAATTCAATACTAGTTGAAGAAAAATTGGATACACAAACACACATAATTTTTGTTGGTAACTGTTAGTGTTTCAAAGTTCTTGAGACTACATAGCATTAAAAAAAAGGAAACACTGCATGATTTTTTCATATTAAATTATGGGTGAGGTTCTATTCAATCAGATGGCATTCAAAGTATTGATAAAATGTCTTGAGTGAGTACCGTAAATCTCTGTGTATAAGACACACTTTTTTACTGCCAAAAAAAAAAAAAGTCGGGGGGGGGGGGGGGGGGGGGGGGGGGGGGGATAAATAAATAAAAGTTTCAATTTATGCCCCTCCACCTGGCGCTATGCCTGGCAATGTCTCGTAGATCAGTAATCGATGTGTTGACTCACCACTCGGAAACTAGAACAACACTCAAATTTGTCTGTCATCTTGGTTTGAAAGTAATCTTTCTGATAGATCTCAATATGTAGTTGATAATAATAATTCCTCCAATTTTTCTTCTATTACACACGGCGCACACAAGGTTCTATCCTAGGTCCTCTACTGTTTTTTAATTTACATTAATGATCTTATGCATTCAAATGCACCTCTTATTTTTTTTGGGAAAAAAAAAAAAATTCTTGGCCCCAAAATAGGGGTGCGTCTTATACACAGAGATTTACAGTACTGGCTAATTTTGAAAAACTAAATCTTCAGCCATCAATTGCAGCTGCTCTGTTAACTGTCAATTATATTTTTGAAGCATCAGTTGATCTTTGAACTTACATCTGCACCCACTTGCACATATAACATAGGAGACTATGTCTCCTCTGCACTGAATTTCCATTTTTGTTTTTGCAGTTTTGCCAGTACAAAAGATGTACATAAATTGTTCATAAAATATTCATAAAAGAGAAATAAAAAACAATTTTTGATAATATGTAATTTGTTTCCTTTGTTTGTCACATCTCTTTCATCTAATTTTCATGATTCTTTGCCGTCTGGAGCAAGTGGGAAACATGCAGTGTAATTAAGGCATCTTTCACATCCATGTTTAATTACATAAAACAAAGCATTACCTTTGCAGGTAATACGTTTCCTGGCTTTGCTAAATTTCTAATTCAACATGCAACACCTTGTTTCTTGGGTATGTGATTTTAAGATGAATTAGAAATTTGGAGAAGAAAAACATGTGAAAACGATAGGATCTTTGCTGTCCCTTTATTCAATCATTCCAATTAACACTGTCTAGAAAAAAGTGAGTACTGATGCAGATGATCTGTGCTAGAAAGACATCACCTGCAAAGTCATAGGCGGTGATGGGGCAGTGACGTATCCAGCATTGGGTGAAGCTAGTGTAGCTTCTTGAAGAGCCAAGAAAAACTTAGTGACTTGTTATATGGGTACAAGAAAGGGGCTGCCCAACATTTACTGAACCAAAGTCTTGGGAGGATGCCGCCCCTCTCCCTTATCAATTTCTGGATATGCCACTGGGGGTATATATGCACGGCTAGGTTCTAGTATAGGGTTAAAGATCAAATGCCTGCTTTTCACTTTGATCCAATACAAGACTGAAACATTTTTGTGCAAACAATTTTTTGCAAGCTTTTCGAAATTAGCCGGTGCTCACTCAAGCATACAATATTGCCAATAATTTAAGTGCCATCTGATTGAATAGACATTCATCAATAGTTCATAATATATTATGCAGATACATGCATCATGAAATTCAATTTTTTTTTTAAAGGATATTTTCAATGTGCGTACTATTTTTGATATGCAATGTAGTAGATTCTATATCTTAAGGACACAAAAAGAAAAAGAAGAAAAAAAGAAAGAAAAAACCAACCTAATAACAAATCAAGCTCTACTACTATCCCTGCCGCTTAAACTTACTTCTGCAACATAGGAAGTAGACCAGAGTTAAGATCAAAATTATGGCCAGAATTATGGCCACAACTGATACACCGATGAAGGCATTATTGGAACCTGAAGAAAAAAAAGGAATAGCAATTTTAAAACACACAATCTTTAAAACCAAATGAAAATATAAGTGGTAAAAATTACATGAAACATATATATGCACCAGTTATAACACATTGCTCTCAAGACATCATTAATATAATATCTTTTGCATCTTGCATAATCAATCAAGCTCATCAAAATCTGATGCGGAAGAACAAACTTAACTATTTCAACTAGATGGATGTTCAACTGCATGCAGTCGAAAATGATGCCTCCGTCATAGAGCGATTTTACAAACCAAAACAGAAGCAATTTTAAAAATTAAAGTTTGATGTAATCCATTAACAGATTTTCAGAATATTATGATTACAAGCTATTTTTCTACAGTAGGCTTGCGGTTGCACCATGTGCGAGAGGGGGAGGATTGGGGAGTCCTGAAAAGGACTCTCGTAAATCTTTCTTTCTTGAGTGTTACTGTGTTTAGTGCTGAAAAGGACTGTTGGTGTAGTCATGAAAAAGACTGTTGGTTATCTTTCTTAGCTTATAGTTCTAAGGAGAACTATAGCGCTGGTTGGAGAGGATGGGTGGTAGGAGTGCCTCAAACTGTTTTGAACAGGTTGACTATCCGTCGTCAGGAGCCTACTAAGCTCACTGTATATCTACATCACCATGCAAGCCGACACTTATAAGCAGCATCTAAGCTATTTTTCATATACATGTATGACCCTTTGAACTTTGACCTCATGACCCTAAAAGCTAATCAGTTCATTGGCTCTGCAAGATACATACATGACCAGAAAATAACCAGAAAACATAATGCCTCCAGCTACTTTGTAGTGGAGGCATATAAAGGATGCACTGTATTCACCGTATGCGCTTTTAAGGTTTGCTGTAATGAATATACTTGTATGTATGCACCTAAACACGTTTACGCTTTTCGTTTGGACTTTAAAATATCAGAGCCTGGTAAACTTTTCTGAGGAAAAAGAATATATGCAGAATCATTATTCTCTTGATTTTATCCTCTGAAATACAAATATCAGTGGCGTATCTAGGATTGCCCCCCCCCCCCTCCCCTTCAGGGTGAGAGCTTTTGCATTCATTTTCGCATTCTCCCAAGTCGTACAACTCAATCAACATGTCGAATTTCATAGGAGATGGGAAGCAAGGAAATTGTGAACTCTGGAGAGATAGGTTTCCTTGCCGAGTAATCAATAGGTGTAGGAGTAATTTCACAATCTTCTTTAACAGACTGACAATTTGTAATAACAATATCCATTTTCCATTCCATTTGTAGAATGTCATTCTCCTATAAAACTAAACAATATCTGCTTACCTTGATCGTGTTCCTTGAATACCACTAGAGGGTAAAGCGAGTGCAATCCTGGGAAGTGCTGTAGGATGCAGAATACTGTGTAGTCATGGGTCAGCTGTGACCCATCTACAGTAAGGTAAGTGTGAGTGTCATTCCTAAAGATCTGCAATCCCTCACACTTAGTCTTATCCTTGTCCCCCACTTCAAGGCTGCAAATTTTATTATCTGTCACAAACTCCGCTGTACATTTGTAGCTTCCATGATAATTTTTGTCCCCAGCAAAGATCAAGTAGTTTGCCCCATCAACTGGTGTAGGAACTGAGTGCGTGGCAAATTCAGTCTCGCTGGTTGCTATAGTAATGCTCCTGAAATCCTCCCGTTGAACATCAACTGGAGAATGTGAAGTTTAAAAAAAGAAGAAAAAGCACAAACAAAAAAACAAATGAAGATAGTAATAAAATTAACAAGACAAATGCAACTGCGTAATCCAATATGCCTCTGCCTAAATTCTGTTTAAGATCGTGGCTTGAAATATTCTTGGAATATCACGATGAGAACCAAATGCCTATATATATGTCATTTGATCTTTACGACCTTTGCCCTTTGACCTGAAATTGATTGGGTTTCTTTGGATCTCTCGGACATAAAAAGATCAAATACAAAGCAGATATATTCTACCAGGAAAGAAATCTCCCATAATCTCCTCTATCCTTTCTTCTGCCATGCATGTAAGACCCTTTCCCTTTAAAAAAAAAGAGACATTTGTATGTAACATGTATGATCATAGCTACATTTGTCAAAAAATGATATACATTTCTTCTATCACACACTTTTTGCTTGAATCTCCCCAAATTTATATTTTAACTATTAAAAAATAATTTTAAACACAGTTCTAACCTCCTTTTCCATTAGCTCCTGATAAAAATATTACAAGTATTAAAAGGAGCATCCTCTTGTACATGAGCAGCTCAATTCCTGCAAGCTTGGTGGTACATATCTGTGAAAGAAAAATACAAGTACAATAACTTAGGCATAAACATTTGAAATATACATTATCATTGAAACCATCCAACATCTCTTTCTCATATTTTACTTTATGCCTTTAAACAAAAATCTTTCAGCTCTTTCATGCACATTTTTGACAGCAAATTCATGAAAATTGGACAAAGCTCTAAATTTTTCACAATTTCTGAAATAAAAAATAAAAATTCATGGAGTGATAGCTACATGTACCTAACTTAAGAAAATATTATCTTAGTACACAATCGTATTGGACATCTTTTTTTAATGTTTAACATAATGACCAGGTCAACCTTAAATTGGTTTGATACGAGACAGCCATTCCTACATTTATTTTGTTTTTGTCTGTCATGTTTATTGGTCTGTCTTGCAATAAAGTGACACAAAATGTAATGAAAACGTGGTTGGAGATATTTCCAGCTACCAACTTGAAACTTACACCATACCTTGTCACTGATTCATGAGAAGAAATATTTTTATGATAGAAATGGATCAGATTCATGCCCCATAAAGAAGATCTATCAAAGATTAAATGTATGTATGCTATGTTGCATGCATGACTTAACAAGCCTTGGATGTGTGCAAAAATACTGAATATATGTACAAATGCAGATACCTCGCATTTGCGTTTCTTATTTGAACGTGGAAGTGACCTACATTAATTGTATCCTTTACCTTTGATTTATCCTGTTCTTCTGATTTCTCCTTCAGTCCTGGGGATTCCTCTGGACTTTCTTTCTCTTTCAATCCCGGGGGTTCCTCTGGACTTTCTTTCTCCTTCAATCCTGGGGATCCCTCTGGACATTCTTTCTCCTTCAATCCTGGGGATTCCTCTGGACTTTCTTTCTCCTTCAATCCTGGGGATTCCTCTGGACTTTCTTTTTCCTTCAATCCTGGGGATCCCTCTGGACATTCTTTCTCCTTCAATCCTGGGGATTCCTCTGGACTTTCTTTCTCCTTCAATCCTGGGGATTCCTCTGGACTTTCTTTTTCCTTCAATCCTGGGGATTTCACTGGACTTTCTTTCTTTTTCAATACTGGGGATTCCTCTGGACTTTCTTTCTCCTTCAATCCTGGGGATTCCTCTGGACTTTCTTTCTCCTTCAATCCCGGGGATCCCTCTGGACTTTCTTTCTCCTTCAATCCTGGGGATTCCTCTGGACTTTCTTTCTCCTTCAATGCTGGGGATTCCTCTAGACTTTCTTTCTCCTTCAATCCTGGGGATTCCTCTGGACTTTCTTTCTCCTTCAATCCTGGGGATTCCTCTGGACTTTCTTTCTCCTTCAATCCCGGGGATTCCTCTGGACTTTCTTTCTCCTTCAATCCTGGGGATTCCTCTAGACTTTCTTTCTCCTTCAATCCTGGGGATTCCTCTGGACTTTCTTTCTCCTTCAATCCTGGGAATTCCTCTGGACTTTCTTTCTCCTTTAATCCTGGGGATTCCTCTGGACTTTCTTTCTCCTTCGATCCTGGGGATTCCTCTGGAATTTCTTTCTCTTTCAATCCTGGGGATTCCTCTGAACTTTCTTTCTCTTTCAATCCTGGGGATTCCTCTGGACTTTCTTTCTCTTTCAATACAGGGAATTCCTCTGGACTTTGTTTCTCTCTCAATACTAGGGATTCCTCTGGACTTTCTTTCTCTTTCAATACTGGGGATTCCTCTGGACTTTCTTTCTCTTTCAATACTGGGGATTCTTCTGGACTTTCTTTCTCCTTCAATCCCGTGGATCCCTCTGGACTTTCTTTCTCTTTCAATCCTGGGGGTTCCTCTAGACTTTCTTTCTCTTTCAATACAGGGGATTCCTCTGGACTTTGTTTCTCTCTCAATACTAGGGATTCCTCTGGACTTTCTTTCTCCTTCAATCCTGGGGATTCCTCTGGACTTTCTTTCTCTTTCAATACAGGGGATTCCTCTGGACTTTCTTTCTCTTTTAATACTAGGGATTCCTCTGGATTTTTTTTCTCCTTCAATCCTGGGGATTCCTCTTGACTTTCTTTCTCCTTCAATCCTGGGGATTCCTCTGGACTTTCTTTCTCCCTCGATCCTTGGGATTTCATGTGACTTTCTTCATTCTCCAATCCTTGGGATTCCTTGTGACTTACTTCCTCCTCCAATCCTTGGGATTCCTTGTGACTTACTTCCTCCTCCAATCCTTGGGATTTCATGTGACTTTCTTCCTTCTCCAATCCTTGGGATTCCGTGCGACTCACTTCCTCCTTCAATCCATGGGATTCTGTGTGACTTTCTTCCTCCACCAATCCTTGGGATTCCTTGTGACTTTCTTCCTCCACCAATCCTTGGGATTCCTTAGGACTCTCTTCCTCCTCCAATCCTGGGAATTCCTCTGGACTTTCTTCCTCCTCCAATCCTTGGGATTCCTTGTGACTTTCTTCATCCACCAATCCTTGGGATTCCTTGCGAATTTCTTCCTCCTCCAATCCTTGGGATTCTGTGTGACTTTCTTCCTCCTCCAATCCTTGGGATTCCATGTGACTTTTTTCTTCCACCAATCCTTGGGTTTCCGTGTGACTTTCATCCTCCTCCAATCCTTGGGATTCTGTGTGACTTTCTTCCTCCTCCAATCCTTGGGATTCCCTGCGACTTTCTTCCTCCTCCAGTCCTAGGGATTCCATGTGACTTTCTTCCTCCACTAATCCTTGGGTTTCCATGTGACTTTCTTCCTCCTCCAATCCTTGGGATTCTGTGTGACTTTCTTCATCCACTAATCCTTGGGATTCCTTGTGACTTTCTCCCTCCTCCAATCCTTGGGATTCTGTGTGACTTTCTTCATCCACCAGTCCTTGGGATTCCCTGCGTCTTTCTTCCTCCTCCAATCCTTGGGATTCCGTGCGACTCTCTTCCTCCTCCAATCCTTGGGATTCCGTGTGACTCTCTTCCTCCACTAATCCTTGGGATTCCGTGTGACTTTCGTCCTCCACCAATCCTTGGGATTCCTTGTGACTTTCTCCCTCCTCCAATCCTTGGGATTCTGTGTGACTCTCTTCATCCACCAGTCCTTGGTATTCCCTGCGACTTTCTTCCTCCTCCAATCCTTGGGATTCCGTGTGACTTTCTTCCTCCTCCAATCCTTGGGATTCCGTGTGACTCTCTTCCTCCTCCAATCCTTGGGATTCCTTGTGACTCTCTTCCTCCACCAATCCTTGGGATTCCGTGTGACTCTCTTCCTCCTCCAATCCTTGGAATTCTGTGTGACTTTCTTCCTCCTCCAATCCTTGGGATTCCTTGCGACTCTCTTCCTCCTCCAATCCTTGGGATTCCTTGTGACTTTCTTCCTCCTCCAATCTTTGAGATTCTGTGTGACTTTCTTCCTCCACCAATCCTTGGGATTCTGTGTGACTCTCTTCCTCCTCCAATCCTTGGGATTCCGTGTGACTCTCTTCCTCCATCAATCCTTGGGATTCCTCTGGACTTTCTTCCTCCAATCCTTGGGATTTCGTGTGACTTTCTTCCTCCTCCAATCCTTGGGATTCCGTGTGACTCTCTTCCTCCACCAATCCTTGGGATTCCGTGTGACTTTCGTCCTCCACCAATCCTTGGGATTCCTTGTGACTTTCTCCCTCCTCCAATCCTTGGGATTCTGTGTGACTCTCTTCATCCACCAGTCCTTGGTATTCCCTGCGACTTTCTTCCTCCTCCAATCCTTGGGATTCCGTGTGACTTTCTTCCTCCTCCAATCCTTGGGATTCCTTGTGACTCACTTCCTCCTCCAATCCTTGGGATTCCGTGTGACTCTCTTCCTCCTCCAATCCTTGGGATTCCTTGTGACTCTTGTCCTCCACCAATCCTTGGGATTCCGTGTGACTCACTTCCTCCTTCAATCCTTGGGATTCCGTGTGACTTTCTTCCTCCTCCAATCCTTGGGATTCTGTGTGACTTTCTTCCTCCTCCAATCCTTGGGATTCCTTGCGACTCTCTTCCTCCTCCAATCCTAGGGATTCCTCTGGACTTTCTTCCTCCTCCAATCTTTGGGATTCTGTGTGACTTTCTTCCTCCACCAATCCTTGGGATTCTGTGTGACTCTCTTCCTCCTCCAATCCTTGGGATTCCGTGTGACTCTCTTCCTCCATCAATCCTTGGGATTCCTCTGGACTTTCTTCCTCCAATCCTTGGGATTTCGTGTGACTTTCTTCCTCCTCCAATCCTTGGGATTCCGTGTGACTCTCTTCCTCCACCAATCCTTGGGATTCCGTGTGACTTTCGTCTTCCACCAATCCTTGGGATTCCTTGTGACTTTCTCCCTCCTCCAATCCTTGGGATTCTGTGTGACTCTCTTCATCCACCAGTCCTTGGTATTCCCTGCGACTTTCTTCCTCCTCCAATCCTTGGGATTCCGTGTGACTTTCTTCCTCCTCCAATCCTTGGGATTCCGTGTGACTCTCTTCCTCCTCCAATCCTTGGGATTCCTTGTGACTCTTGTCCTCCACCAATCCTTGGGATTCCGTGTGACTCACTTCCTCCTCCAATCCTTGGGATTCCGTGTGACTCACTTCCTCCTTCAATCCTTGGGATTCCGTGTGACTTTCTTCCTCCTCCAATCCTTGGGATTCCGTGTGACTCTCTTCCTCCATCAATCCTTGGGATTCCTTGTGACTTACTTCCTCCTTCAATCCTTGGGATTCCTTGTGACTTACTTCCTCCTTCAATCCTTGGGATTCTGTGTGACTCTCTTCCTCCATCAATCCTTGGGATTCCTTGTGACTTACTTCCTCCTTCAATCCTTGGGATTCCTTGTGACTTACTTCCTCCTTCAATCCTTGGGATTCCGTGTGACTCTCTTCCTCCATCAATCCTTGGGATTCTGTGTGACTCTCTTCCTCCATCAATCCTTGGGATTCCGTGTGACTCTCTTCCTCCTCCAATCCTTGGGATTCCTTGTGACTTACTTCCTCCTTCAATCCTTGGGATTCCTTGTGACTTACTTCCTCCTCCAATCCTTGGGATTCCTTGTGACTTACTTCCTCCTCCAATCCTTGGGATTCCGTGTGACTCTCTTCCTCCATCAATCCTTGGGATTCTGTGTGACTCTCTTCCTCCATCAATCCTTGGGATTCCGTGTGACTCTCTTCCTCCTCCAATCCTTGGGATTCCTTGTGACTTACTTCCTCCTTCAATCCTTGGGATTCCTTGTGACTTACTTCCTCCTTCAATCCTTGGGATTCCGTGTGACTCTCTTCCTCCATCAATCCTTGGGATTCTGTGTGACTCTCTTCCTCCATCAATCCTTGGGATTCCGTGTGACTCTCTTCCTCCTCCAATCCTTGGGATTCCTTGTGACTTACTTCCTCCTTCAATCCTTGGGATTCCTTGTGACTTACTTCCTCCTCCAATCCTTGGGATTCCGTGTGACTCTCTTCCTCCTCCAATCCTTGGGATTCCTTGTGACTTACTTCCTCCTCCAATCCTAGGGATTCCTCTGGACTTTCTTCCTCCACCAATCCTTGGGATTCTGTGTGACTCTCTTCCTCCTCCAATCCTTGGGATTCCGTGTGACTCTCTTCCTCCATCAATCCTTGGGATTCCTCTGGACTTTCTTCCTCCAATCCTTGGGATTCCGTGTGACTCTCTTCCTCCTCCAATCCTTGGGATTCCTTGTGACTTACTTCCTCCTCCAATCCTTGGGATTCCGTGTGACTCTCTTCCTCCTCCAATCCTTGGGATTCCTTGTGACTTACTTCCTCCTCCAATCCTTGGGATTCCTTGTGACTTTCTTCCTTCTCCAATCCTTGGGATTCCGTGTGACTCACTTCCTCCTTCAATCCTTGGGATTCCGTGTGACTTTCTTCCTCCTCCAATCCTTGGGATTCCGTGTGACTCTCTTCCTCCTTCAATCCTTGGGATTCCTTGTGACTTACTTCCTCCTCCAATCCTTGGGATTCCGTGTGACTCACTTCCTCCTTCAATCCTTGGGATTCCGTGTGACTTTCTTCCTCCACCAATCCTGGGGATTCCGTGTGACTTTCTTCCTCCTCCAATCCTTGGGATTCTGTGTGACTTTCTCCCTTCTCCAATCCTTGGGATTTCTTGTGACTTACTTCCTCCTCCAATCCTTGGGATTTCATGTGACTTTCTTCCTTCTCCAATCCTTGGGATTCCGTGTGACTCACTTCCTCCTTCAATCCTTGGGATTCCATGTGACTTTCTTCCTCCACCAATCCTGGGGATTCCGTGTGACTTTCTTCCTCCTCCAATCCTTGGGATTCCCTGCGACTTTCTCCCTCCTCCAATCCTTGGGATTTCTTTTGAGTTTCTCCCTCCTTCCACGGCCTAAAATTAATAAATAATTGTTACTTTAAAATTGTTACATTAAAAGTGTCACTGACATGTACACCAATAGAAATTACCACACTAAATTAGAGAAGACATTCTTTTAAACTTTCACCAATAAGCAACTTCTTAGTTGCACAGTGAATATATGCATGTACTGTATGTTTATCTGCCATGTCTCTTAAAAACTTGCAACAGAAAATATAATGAGACAAATAAGACTGGGTCTTCCCGATATGCCTCTGCCTACCTTCAATTGAGATTCGTCACACGTACACAGCTGTGTGAAATGGACGAGAAGCAACTAAGGCACCAAGCTATCCCAGAGTGCAGTTGAAATTGGGACATGAAATTTACACCCAGGCATTTTGGGACAAGCAAGAATTAGTATTAGTGTGCATCACAATAGTTCATGGCTCAAATCACATACCTGCCAACATTTGAAAATGAGAATTAAGAATTTTTAGCACGGTATGCCCTCGACAATAAGAAATCTGTACCCTTAACAGGCGTTCGCACATGCAGCGGCAGTGTAACTGGCAATACGCGGTAAATCTGTGCAAAAAAGCGAATACAAATTCGCTGCTCAATCATGCAGCCCTTCAACCCACGCAATACGTTAACTCTCACATCGCGGCATATGATAAAACAATCTTAATTTGGCTTAAGCAACACCAAAAAAAAATAATAATAAATAAATTTAAAAAAAAAAAAAAAAAAAAAAAAAAATCAAAAAAAAAAAAAATCAAAATTTTGAAAATTCAGGAGATTCCGGATTTTGGGGCCCTAAAAATCCAGAAAAACAGGATATTTTGGATTATTTGGGAGGGTTGGCAGGTATGAAATCATACTCTGGTTAAGTACATGTACATTGCTATAAAGGGATAAAACCAGATTTCATGAAAATTAACTGTTATATAACCTTTTCACTATTTACCACCGAAATCAAACGGTCTTCCTATTGAGATGTTTGTCTCACACCAAGATTGCAGTTTATACCTTAAGTGGTTCTTGATGTATCATGCGATAATGAGACTAAAACCTTTATTTTCAGAAATTGACCTCTTTGACATTTGACCTTCTTATCCCAAAACCTGATCAGACGTCTTCCTAAGGTATCACACACTATCACCATACAGGTTTGAAACTCATACCTCCAGTGGTTATTATTGCCACCAACACTATTTGGAGCATTTTCAAGTTTACATACCCTAGGATTGTTAACTCATCTGCTGCTTCTTCAGGTCCCTCTTTCCCTTTGAGATTAGAATAAAAGAAGAAAACAGGCTTGTATTAGGGCAGGCATGCATATCACATACAAAATATATACATGTACATGTACACTACAGTGCATGCCAGAAAAAACGAAACCGAAAAATTATTGATGTTTTATCATAACTTAATCACTATTATAACAAATAAATGACACATATTTGTAAAGCTTAAATCCTCCTCTTTCATTTGAAGCAGCCCATATGAAGTATATTGCACGCATGAGCGATTAAAAACAATTTGAAGAGAGGAAACCAAAAAGTCATTTGGCGGGCGGTATCTGAATTTCATAGAGAAAATTACATTCATAGTAAGTTCATTTTCAGCCCTTTCATATGACACCTCAATCAGGAAAAATGAGCCAGGAAAAAAAAAAATCTGTTTGTTTAAAGTAATGCTTGCTATTCCATAATTTGTTTGAACAAAGTTGTTTTCACTGGCTGCCTGACATAGCAACACACAGAGTTAACAAAAAACTTAACTTCGTTTCATTGACAATCAATGCATCAAGTAAATTTTTTTTTTTTCTTTCTGGGATGCACTGTATAGTTATGTCAATATTTTGCACTTTCACCTTTAAGGTTCTACCTACATTGTAATACAATGTAGGTTATGAAATTATTGAAGGCCTAATAATCAATAGTCAGCAACTGAAGTATTTCTTGTGTCATTAACATGTCCATGGGACTACATGTACATGCATTTGCAAGAGTTACAGACCAAAACATTTGCTACATGAAAAACATGAAATACGTTTGCAAGAGATACAGCCCCCCCCCCCAAAAAAAAAAAATATTATTAATAGTTTGGGTTGTTGTTGTTACAGTTCTCTGAAAAGCAAATTATACAAATACTATCAAGTGGATATTAAGAACTGCAAAAAAGTTTAATCCAACCTAAATCCTTGGACCGAATTTTCTTTGTTCATTACTCTGCTAAAGTAGACTTTCCTTCATATTCACACAATTTAGTTTTGACATTTCAATTTCAAATGTTTCTGTTTTGCTATCTTACCATCTGTGGTGACACTTTCACCTTTCTTCTTAAGAATGCTCATCTCGGCCATGGTGCCGGTTACCGGTATCTAGAATAGAAGGATAATATGTGCTTTCATTTAAATCAACAAAAACATTAAGTGTGCTGGAAGATGGATGCTGTGCACCAGGGGATTTTTTGACCGTTGGGGGGGCAGTAAAAAACAATCTGCAGCACCACCACTCTGCCATGGTACGCGGCACGTTTTTCAAAGCGCAAAGCTAGAAAACCAAATGGAGCGTAAATTGGCGTGGGGTCCATGAGCTAAGCTCCAACGAATTTCAAGGGGCGGAGGCCCATGAAGCTCAGGGGTTTTAGGCATTTAATTATGGTCAAATGAGCATTCAGGGGCCCGCCTTAGGGCCCTTTGTGGGGCGAAGATGTGACGTAGATGACGGAAGTGACTACCCCCATAGAGCTATATGATAAGTCTTATTATATGGCTCTATGCTACTCCTCACAGGTTTTTGAAGTTTTGTTGTATCAAAAAATTACATTCTTTAGCAAAATTAAAGTATAAATACAAGCAATATACTTTTTCCACACTTCACCTTTACTTTGCCGGTATCCAGTGTGCAGTCCGAAAGGTTGTAAATATTTAGTAGGTACATTTTAGTAAGTAGGTGGGAAGGGACTTCTTAAAAGAGCAAGCGGAATATTCATTTGTGTAGCACTGATCTATTTCTATAACTCTTAATCTTGTAAACATACAGTGTAGACTGTGCTTACAAGATACAAACAGAATATAGATATTCTAAAATATTTACTTATATATTTTGAAGGATATTAAGCGAGGGAGCGTAGCAACCAAGCGTGAATATTTTCATTAGTCTAAACGCTGCACTCTTGGGCCTTCCCGAGTCTGAAAGTGTGTTGCAGTCTATACCGGTAGTCAGTATTTGCTATACATTTTTTTATGTGCACTTTTTCAAATTTTCTGGGGAGGGGGGGGGGGGGACCTGTCCTCCCTGTCCCCCTCCCCGGTTTGCCACCCCTGCTTGTAGTGCAGCACAGTGAAGCTCTGAAACATAACAAAAAACAGTTGAAACTATTGAAATTTGTATTGATTGAGAAATATTACCAACTGACCTGAACAATGAAGAAAACTCAAATTCTTTGTAATGTATAGCTGAGAGGACAAAATGGACATGAAATAGATTCAAGTACTGCATCACGCCATTTTTATTTCTTCTTCATGGAAAAAGAAGCTATTATCACCTGTGTTCCTGTCGCCTCTCTGAATCGTAGGAGGGAGATAAGGCGTAACAAGATACAGGCAATGATAGCCAGGACATCTATGGACATCTTGACGAAAGGACTAAATGTGTACTTATCCGCTGCTCCTTCAGGTCCCTCTTTCCCTTTAAGATTAGAATAAAAGAAGAAAACAGGCTTGTATTAGGGCAGGCATGCATATCAAATATGAAATATATACATGTACATGTAATAATAATAATAATATTGGATTCTTATATAGCGCACGTATCGACCTTGCAAGGTCCTCAAGGCGCTCCAACATTACCCGGCTATGCTAGGCTGCCAAGTTCGACGCTCACAGCATTTTAAGGAATTCCTTCCTACCGGTATAATTATGTATAATTATGTCAATATTTCGCAACCAGAGTAAGACAAACCAGAGTAAGACCCCCACCCCTTTCATTTTACGATGTAGGTTATGAAATTGTTATTATAAGGCCTAATCATCGATAGTCAATAAAAAGTATTTCTTGTGTCATTAACTTGTCCATGGGACTACATACATTTGCGAGAGATACAGGCCCCCCAACAAAAATAATTAATAGTTTGGTTTGTTGTTGATACGCAGTTCCCTGAAGAGCAAATTATACAAATTCTATCATACCGGTATTAAGAACTGCAAACAAGTTTAATCCAACCTAAATCCTTGGACCGAATTTTATTTGTTCATTACTCCGCTATAGTAGACTTTCCTTCATATTCACACAATTTAGTTTTGACATTTCAATTTCAAATGTTGCTGTTTTGCTATCTTACCATCTGTGGTGACACTTTCACCTTTCTTCTTAAGAATGCTCATCTCGGCCATGGTGCCGGTTACTGGTATCTAGAATAGAAGGATAATATGTGCTTTCATTTAAATCAACAAAAACATTAAGTGTGCTGGAAGATGGATGCTGTGCACCACACATCAATGTGCATATAGTGCAGCACAGTGAAGCTCTGAAACATTAAAAACATTAACTATTAAAATTTGTATTAATTGTACAGAAATATTACCAACTGAGAAAACTCATATTCTTTGTAATGTTGCAATATTTACAAAAGACTGAAATTGCTATATTGTATAGCTGCGACAACAAAATGGGCATGAAATGGATTCTATAGTGCTGCATCAAACCATTTCTATTTCTTCTTCATGGAAAAAGAAGCTATCATCACCTGTGATCCTGTCGCCTCTCTGAATAGTAGGAGGGAGATAAGGCGTGACAAGAGACAGACAATGAAAGCCAGGACATCTATGGACACTTTGACGGATGATGGTCAAACCTAGCTCTTAACCAGGCAAGAGCAAGAAGCAGGACTACTCATGTAAACTTAGATTGCGTGTTAAGCAGGGCTCCCACTTAGCCGAGTTAGAGCCTCAAGTTGTGGCGAGCTGGCCCAAGCTTTTGGCTAGCCATTTCATCATTAAAACATATTTCTTGATATCAAGAATTCAATTCTTAATATCACGAAATTGAATTCTTGATATCAAGAATTGCCATTGCTTTATTTGTTGATATCAAGAAATATGTTTTAATGAAAATGGCTTGCCAAAAGCTTGCGCCAGCTCGCCACAACTCGAGGCTCCAACTCGGCTAAATGGGAGCCCTGCTTAAGGACTTTATCTCCAAGACTTTGGCAGATCGTAAGGAGTATATGAGGGACAATGGCCTGTGTTATGCTTGTCTCAATCAAGGTCATACCGGGTAGGTCAAAGGATCACAAATGGAGAAGCACCTGCAGCATCTGCAAACGGTGTCATTTATAATTTTATGTGATCATCACCCCGGTGGGGTCACTCCCCTGCAAAGAGTAACACATATGACCGTTACCACCAATGCATATAACCCCCTTTTGCGGTCAATTTCAAGGATATTTGGTGAAATTTAACCCCCTTTTTTACGTCAAAACAAGGACAAAATCGTACTTTGGAATACCCCTATTTATAAGATTGTAAGGACACTTTCGCAAATTTACCCCTATTTTACCATATTTCAAGGACAAGACTCGGCTCCGAGAATTTTTCTTCCCGGTTTTCTCTTTTCCCTTCCCGGTTTTCTCTTTTCCCTTTTCCTGACCCCTATTTATCAATTTCGGGGACACCTGTGCCCCCCTATTTTCTTTATTTCGAGGAATATTTTGTCCGCGGACAATGCTTGAAATTGACCCCTTCTTCCGCGATTTTGGTAACGGTCATGCGGTCCGAAAGTCACATTGAGTGACCCCACCGGGATCATCACGCAGTGAAATTTTGTGATAAAATTGTTTATTCTCACTATCACTATAAAAAAATGGAGTCTCATTTGTTAGGCTTCAGATGGACCTTGTTACTGATGTTTGTGTTGCTGTTTACGAGGTTTTTTTAAGCTGACAACCTGTCTGCCCTCTGACTATGACCACACCCAAGAAGCTAGCGTCTCGTACACACGAGCGGAGCTGTTGCCCTACCGCCCCACGGGTGCGGGCAGCAAGCCCAGCGGATATGAAAATTATGGCTATTATATTTGGAGTCCATATAATTGGAATTCCTTTACCCCACTTACGCATAGGGCTGGAGTGACCCTCTCCTTCCGATCGATACGAAACAAACGAACATGGTTGAATTTTAACTTCCCACCCTTCTTGGTGCAGTTGACTGGGCGGTGCACCTGTCGAATGACAACGCAGGTCCTTGGCCAAAACTCTGTGAGCTTATAAAAAGAGTGGCTTTTGAGACCCCGTCCTTCGACGTAAGCTCCCTCATTTTTGCCTATGTTTTTTATAGGGAACCTGGTTTTATCTAGTGGAGCACCGTGCTCCCTTCCCCCCCCCCCCCCCCCAACGCTCTGGGTGCGACCGACAGGTCAGGGCGCTTTTCCGCACTTTCTGGGCTTTACGCGCTTCTTGCCACGCATTAATATGGACGGACATATTCTGTATAAAAGAAGGGGAGAAAAATACATGTTTACATGTTATTGACACTGGATCCTAACAGAAGTTGATCCTTTACAATGTTTAACCGAATTCGTCGGTTCCCCCCAGGGTTTTGGTTACATTACCCCATCAAGCAGTTGGGTTCTTATGACCCTATAGTGTATGTGTATCCTCTACCCTAAGGTGTGGTATCCAAAAATTGTTCCCTCTATCTACTGTATTATCCTTAACTGATCAGTGCTTTAATTGATCAGTAGGATCCTACTACCCTGAGGTGGGGTATCAACTAGTTCCCTTTATCGTACTGTTTTAAAACGATCCAAAAATTAATAAGGTTATATTAACCTGTGCCGAGGCTTTTCGGCTGGTACTGAGCTTATGACATAGTATTGATACATGCATAACAGGTATAACGTAACTTGTCTATCTGCCGTGGGAGGCCCGGGGAGGAAAGGCTTATCTTGCCATAAAGGCCTTCACCATTTTGATGGTGTCCCACAGGACTTTTTGAAGTATCCTGGTGATTCCTGAGTTTTTTAGGCCGACAGTCTTGGCGATATCATCGTTGAGTGAGCACCAGGTGCCTTTTGCACCGCACACGAATCTGAAGGTCTCAACTGATGATGGTTGGAACATCGCTTCGACCGCCGGTTTGATTGGCGCGTATTTCTGTACTTTGCCTCTCCAGGCCGCCTTTAGCTTCCTGGGATTGTCATCCCATACTACAGTTGGATCGACTACGTAGCAGGGCTCCCCAGCTCCCGCACTGAGAACGAGATCTGGCAGGTAGTTCCTTCCATCATTCCCCACTAATCTGGGTTCTTCTGTCTTTAATCAAGGCCTTGCAAACACGGTCATGCCTGATTTTGTGTAGGTCCAGGACTGACTGACAATATCCAGAGATTTGTCCCATTGTCTCGATTGTTTGTTGACAATGTCTACGATTAACCTGATCTCTACCCTGTCCCCTCCCCATGGTTTCCCTGGTGGGGATTAGGTTTGTTCTTAGCTTGATGGCCCAGATGTAATCGTTCTCAGTGAGAAAGCTTAGGTTTCCTAACCACTTGTTGCCCAGCTTGTGCCGGTAGCAACTCACTCTTTCTCTCTAATTATTTATCTCAATCTCATACCCCCTTTCCATCACATCTCACTCTGATCTAATATGAAAATGGACTGCACGGAAAAGAATGACCGCATCAAAGATGTATGCACTTACATAAGTAACATAACTATAATTTAAGTTAAAGAAGAAAGAATTTTTTTCTCCAATTTTGGGACCCATTTTTGAATACCGGTACATAGAATAGAATAGAATAGAAATGGTTTTTATTAAAAAGATCATCGCAACCAATGGCTGAATTGCGATCCATTTCACAAACATACAATACAATTGCAATTTAAATTGAAATAACACAAAATATGACATAAATAAAAAATCAAACATATAGACATTTCATAAAAATTCTTTGATCAAATTCAAATTTTTGTTTAAAAAAAAAGAGAAAGGGAGGTGTAGGAGAGGGAGAGTTGGAGTGATGACAAAGAGAGAGGAAGAGAGGAGGAGAGAAAGAAAGAGAGAGGAGAGAGAGAAGGGGGACGAAAGAGAGAGACGGAAAGAGAGAGAGAGAGATACATTATGAATATAATAAGCGATAAATGAAAGCATTATATATTGATAATAATAATAATATGATAAAACTATACATTGAAAAATATATATTAAAAAATTATTAACAAAAAAAAACAAAACAAAAGCAAACAAACCCTCCCCCGCCCCCCTCCAAAAAAAAGAAAAAGAAAAAAAAAGAAGAAAACCCACCCCCCCCCAAAAAAAAAAAAAAATGCAACATCGTAACTGAAAATAATTTGGGAAACTCGATTAAATAATACTTTCGACACATCAAAATCTTCTAAAAAATTACCATTTTTATCAAATTTGTCAGTTTTGTTAGCAAATAGATCTAGTATCATCATCTAATCTACCGGTATACTAACCTGCCTCTCATAATTTATGCAACTAGGTCCAGACTATTCCTGATATGTTCTTTTATTGTTATATTACAACTTTCCAATTGGTACTTGTATTTGCATTTAATTATTTGACAGAGTGCTTTAATTATTTGACACATCAATTTCATGGGACAGTTAAGCGTTCACCCCCGTCCGCACTAAAGAAAGAGATTTTCAGCGCCCGTTATAAAGGCATGGGAAGGAATCAGAAAAATCGTACTTTGGCCGGGTTTGATAGGTTTAGCATTAGTTGTGGAGGCTGTCCGGAATAGATACCAACATCTATAAAATGCCTGATATTTCCTCTTTGTAATCATGTAACTTTTAATAATTTTCGAAAATAAATGATTCCGTCATTTTTAAGATTTCAAAACACTTATGGGTAGAATTTGGAAGAGATTTAAGCGTAATTTACAAGAAATGTGCTTGTTCATGCCCCCTGTGTGACTTTTCCATTGGACTTACGTGTGAACGGTATAAGCTACAAATTATATACCATGTCGAGAACACAGGTCATTTCCTCAGCTTTCATAATATATTAGATTTATTATGATTGGTTGAAAAATAGGTCCGTCAAAATGACTTGACAAATTGTTATGTCTGTAAGAAAATACTGAAGTGGCTTTCTTTAGTCGATGCGACGTGTGCCATAGCTATGTATTGCTCGCTCTTACAACGCTGATGTCTAATTGAGCATGACGTTTAATGGTAACAAAATGCCACTTATTCATATCTATTAGTTAAATGAATGTAACCAAACTATAAAATAATTATATAGGAACAAATCTTTCCATATCATAAATAACAATACGTTTTCAAAATTAGTGAAATTAAGATGTATTTATAGGTATGTATATAGCCATGATTAAGAGATTTTTGTTGTGTAACAGGATTCCGGACTGTATCCATTCTACATGCAGGGTACATGCGTGTACTAATGCAGTGTACCCATACTACGCGCACTGTATTGCCATCGAATGCGCTTAATATGCCGTGTGTGTTGCTATAGGCCTACTGTGTGTGTGATGCGTTGGGTGTGTATAGGGCCTGTGTGTGTGTAACGGCAAAATACATGTTCAGAAGACCCATGTGATCAAAACACTGATATCATGCACTCTAATTTTAACAAATTAATATATTTTTTCTGACGGTCGGAGTCCCAATTTCCACTGTACACAGCTAGGTTTATGAGCCTAACATCATACACCCCCATTTGTTATAATGGATACGTCCAATATACGTTTGTTCATCTACGCTCCTGTGCGACGCGTATATCCAGCGCGTATCAGTAAAATATGCGTTTGACTCCGCACAGTGTTAAGTGCTGGTATTTTCTACGTCACGTTAACTGTCCAAATCGAGCAAAACTAATTCATATGAAGTGCTTATTATTTGACAAAGAAATTAATAGCGAGCTTTCGATTTAGGCACCCGACGTCGGCTACTATGAGGTACTGGAGCGTGGAGACGTTGTGCAGCTCACGTCCATTCCCTTCGCGGCAGTGCTTTCAATTTTTCACGTCGGTGCTTTCGTCGGTCATGTGACCAATTTGTTTAGATCAGGTGATTAAATCAGGTAATAAATTCAGTGCGCGAAAATCTGATATGAAGAATAATATGATGACAGAAAACAATTACATATTAAGAGAAGGTGATAGAAGGAAGAAACAAAGAATAACATAAGGAAAGATAGAAAGAGGAAGTGATAGAATGATAAAAACAAAGAAAAAAAAATAACAGAAGGTGAAAGAACAAAGAAACAAAGAATAACATAAGGAAAGACAGAAACAGGAAGTGATAAAATGATAAAAACAAAGAAAAACATAAGAAAATGTGATAGAAAGAAGAAACAAAGAATAACATAAGGAAAGATAGAAAGAGGAAGTGATAGAATGATAAAGACAAAGAATAACATACGGTGATAGCAGGAAGAAACAAAAGAAATCATAAGGAAAGATAGAAAGAGGAAGTGATAGAATGATAAAAACAAGAATAATATAAGAGAAGGTGATAGAAGGAAGAAACAAAGAATAAAATAAGGAAAGATAGAAAGAGGAAGTGATAGAATGATCAAGACAAAGAATAACATAAGGTGATAGAAGGAAGAAACAAAGAAAACATAAGGAAAGATAGAAAGAGGAAGTGATAGAATGATAAAAACAAAGAATAACATAAGGAGAGACAGAAAGTGATAGAATGATAAAACAAAGAATAACATAAGAGAAGGTGATAGAAGGAAGAAACAAAGAATAACATAAGGAAAGATAGAATGAGGAAGTGATAAGCGTCCTGTTTTTTTCGAAAAAAAGGAAGGAGGAGGCCCTTTTTTTTTCCTTCAAAATGGCCGCTCTGTACATTTTCCCTGACAGTCGGGCTATTTTTCAAGATGGCTACCGATATTTTTTTGTTGTTGATGTAAATCAGAAATAGATCCATTTTTCATGTTTTTTGCTTCTTAAAAACAAAACAAAATTGAACAAAATTTAAAATTTAAAATTAAAAAAAAAAAAAAAAAAGGAGGCGGCCCCCCAAAAGGAAGCGGACGGGGACGCTAAACATGTATATTTTTTTAAGTGGCCTAAAAAATAATGTCACACGTACACAGGTGCGTACGAAGGGGGGGGGGGGTGGGGTTTGGGGGGTCGAACCCCCCCCCTTTGACTTTTTTTACATGTATGTTTTTGAAGAAAACCCTCCCCCCTTTGCATTTTTTTTGTATTTAAAAAAAAAGATTATGGTAATGATGACCCCAAAAACTGACCATATTTACCTGCCCCCCCCCAAAAAAAAAATATTGATCGGCTAAATTTTCAATTTTTTCGTCTTTTTACCCCCCCCCCCCCCGCTTATTCAGCGGGTGGCTGAGTCGTTGCGAAATTTTCGGCGTGATTTTCAAATTTTAACCCCCCAACCCTTGAAAAAATCCTGCGTACGCGCCTGCATGTACACGTAGCAGTCCACTATGTCGGCGTGCAAAAAAAAGTCCCTAGACTATGATGAAATCATGACGGTGTAGACCTAGGCCAGCTGCAGGCAGGCTAGTACGCCTCGCCTACGGTATAATAAATTAAAAGTGAGCTAGTATCTAGACTAGTTAAACTCACCAGAACTTTTGCTTGAGAATCCTTGTTATTTTAGAAGAGAAGCACGATGCAAATATGTAAAATTGACGAGTTTTGTAAGCAGGATTCAGGAACATTCGTTCAGTAGAAGTGTAGAAGTAGAGTACGTACTACGCGATGCGATCTTTGGTTTTGGCCGGAAGGAAATGGCGGAGTAACGTGGAGGAGTGGAGGAAATGTACGGAATTTTACCGGTGCTTTCGCACGCGCACTTCCTGTGAGTGTTGTTATACGTTGCATGTGTACGCAATCGGGGAATACCCCTGGTGGGGTCACATGACCGTTACCAAAATCGCGGAAAAAGGGGTCAATTTCAAGCAATGTCCGCGCACAAAATATTCCTCGAAATATAGAAAATAGGGGTGCACAGGTGTCCTCGAAATTGATAAATAGGGGGTCAGGAAAAGGGAAAAGAGAAAACTGGGAAGAAAAATTCTCGGAGCCGAGTCTTGTCCTTAAAATATGGTAAAATAGGGATAAATTTGCGAAAGTGTCCTTACAATCTTATAAATAGGGGTATTCCAAAGTACGATTTTGTCTTTGTTTTGATGTAAAAAAGGGGGTTACATTTCACAAAATGTCCTTGAAATTGACCGCAAAAGGGGGTTATTTGCATTTGTGGTAACGGTCATACGTGTCACCCTCTGCAGGGGAGTGACCCCACCGATTGTTAGAATACAAAAAGCATTTTGGTTTTATAGTTTCATGCAAGTAAGTCAATAAAAGAGTATGTTCTGCACAATAAAAACAATGTGTGTCCCTATTGTACAATGTATGTGTCCCCTCATTTTGTAATAGTTAATTTACCCATTCATATAATGGAACTACCTGCCCGATGAAGCCAGTGGCCTGTAACCACTGATCTCTACGGAAAAATCTTTTTTTTCCGTAGAGATCAGTGCCTGTAACCCCTGAGCACTCAACACCGTGTGGGAGGCAGTTTGTGATCAACTTCTTTTATGAGACAAGCAAACGTTTCCATATGGGGAACAGGAAAATAAAACGTTAATTCTCGCTCGATCGCAATTCAACTTTGCAAAACAGTTTTGAGTGGAATCGTCGAGGCCATGCAATAATTATTGTCAAAAAGATTTTGAGTTAATAGAACCTACTAACTCTTATGCCTGACTATGAAGCCAAACGTAGTAAATTTACACAAGAACATTTGATTGAAAGTTACACAGCTAGTATAATCCACATAGATATGCAGGCGCGGATCCAGGATTTTCCAAAAGGGGGGGGGGGGGGCCGGAAATTTGAAAATTGCGCAGACCGTTTTTCAACTCAACATACCAATACTGACAAGGTCATATTAGAAGCACCATACCGGTAATTTTTTTGACATTTACATCGGGGGGGGGGGGGGGGGGGGCTGAAGCCTCTTGCCCGAAAAAGTAATTTTATGGTTTCACAATTCGGCTAATGAGCGAAGCGAGCGAGCAAAAATTTGAGGATAATAATTATGTATTTTGTGAAAGTGTAATTTATCACCAAAATATACGAGAAAAGATATAACAAATTCATATTCGGGCAGCTCGCTGTCCCCCCCCCCCCCCCCCCCCCCATTACGCGCGAAGCACAGAAGCTTTAATGGTGCATGAAATTATTAGAGAAAGAAGAGGATTCGTTGTAACATTCTCGACTCCTAATCCTTGTCTGAATTTAGTTCCCCCCCACCCCCCTCCCGCGCGAAGCGTGGAAGTTTTGACCTTTCATTAATTGATATTAGAGAAAGAAGACGTTTTGTTGTACCATTCTCGACTCTTATTCCTTGTCTGAATTCAGTTTTCCCCCTCCCGCGCGTAGCGCTGAAGAATTGACCTTTCATAGTTTAATGAAATTATTAGAGAAAGGAGATAATTCGTTGTTCCATTCTCGACCCTCAATCCTTCTCTGAATTCAGATTCCCCCCTTCAGCGCAAAGCGCAGAAGCTTAACGTTTCATTAAATTATTAGAGAAAGAAGACGATTCGTTGTACCGTTCTCGATTCTTAATCATTGTCTGAATTCATTTTCTATACCCCCTCCCGCGCGAAGCGCGGAAGCTTTGACGTTTCATTTAATCATTAAAGAAAGAGTACCGTTCTCGACTCTTAATCCTTGTCTGAATTGAGTTCCCCCTCTCCCGCGTGAAGCGCAAAAGCTTAAAGTTTCATTAAATTATTAGAGAAAGAAGACGATTCGCTGTACCGTTCTCGATTCTTAATCATTGTCTGAATTCAGTTTCCATACCCCCTCCCGCGCGAAGCGCGGAAGCTTCGACGTTTCATCAAATCATCAGAGAAAGAGTACCGTTCTCGACTCTTAATCCTTGTCTGAATTGAGTTCCCCCCCCCCCCTCTCCCGCGCGAAGCGCGGAAGCTTTGACGTTTCATTAAATTATTAGAGAAAGAAGACGATTCGTTGTACCGTTCTCGGTTGTTAATCATTGTCTGAATTCAGTTTCCCCCCTCCGCGCGAAGCGCGGAAGCTTTGTTGTTTCATTGAATTATTAGAGAAAGAAGATGATTCGTTGTTCCATTCTCGACTCTAAATCCTTGGCTGAATTCAGTTTTCCTCCTCCCGCGCGTAGCGCGTAAGCTTCTAACGTTTCATTAAATTATTTGAGAAAGAAGACGATTCGTTGTCCCATTCTCGATTCTTAATCCTTGTTTGAATTCAGTTTCCCCCTCCGCGCGAAGCGCGGAAGCTTTGTTGTTTCATTAAATTATGAGAGAAAGAAGATGATTCGTTGTCCCATTCTCGATTCTTAATCATTGTCTGAATTCAGTTCCCCCCCCCCCTCAGCGCGAAGCGCGGAAGCTTTGACGTTTCATAGAATTATTAGAGAAAGAAGACGATTCGTTGTTCCATTCTCGACTCTAAATCCTTGTCTGAATTCAGTTTTTACTCCTCCCGCGCGTAGAGGGAAAGCTTCTGACGTTTCAGTTTCCCCCTCCAGCGCAAAGCGCAGAATTTAACGTGTCATTAAATTATTAGAGAAAGAAGATGATTCGTTGTTCCATTCCCGACTCTAAATTCTTGGCTGAATTCAGTTTTCCTCCTCCCGCGCGTAGCGCGTAAGCTTCTAACGTTTCATTAAATTATTTGAGAAAGAAGACGATTCGTTGTCCCATTCTCGATTCTTAATCCTTGTTTGAATTCAGTTTCCCCCCTCCGCGCGAAGCGCGGAAGCTTTGTTGTTTCATTAAATTATGAGAGAAAGAAGATGATTCGTTGTCCCATTCTCGATTTTTAATCCTTGTTTGAATTCATTTTCCCCCTTCCGCGCGAGGCGCGGAAGCTTTGACCTTTCATAGTTTAATGAAATTATTAGAGAAAGAAGATAATTCGTTGTTCCATTCCCGACTCTTAGTCCTTCTCTGAATTCACTTTCCCCCTCCATCGCAAAGCGCAGAAGCTTTGACGTTTCATTAAATTATTTGAGAAAGAAGACGATTCGCTGTACCGTTCTCGGTTGTTAATCATTGTCTGAATTCAGTTCCCCCCTCCGCGCGAAGCGCGGAAGCTTTGACGTTTCATAGAATTATTAGAGAAAGAAGATGATTCGTTGTTCCATTCTCGACTCTAAATCCTTGTCTGAATTCAGTTTTTACTACTCCCGCGCGTAGAGGGTAATCTTCTGACGTTTTAGTTTCCCCCTCCAGCGCAAAGCGCAGAATTTAACGTGTCATTAAATTATTAGAGAAAGAAGATGATTCGTTGTTCCATTCCCGACTCTTAATCCTTCTCTGAATTCAGTTTCCCCCTCCATCGCAAAGCGCAGAAGCTTTGACGTTTCATTAAATTATTTGAGAAAGAAGACGATTCGCTGTACCGTTCTCGGTTGTTAATCATTGTCTGAATTCAGTTCCCCCCTCCGCGCGAAGCGCGGAAGCTTTGACGTTTCATAGAATTATTAGAGAAAGAAGATGATTCGTTGTTCCATTCTTGACTCTAAATCCTTGTCTGAATTTAGTTTTTACTACTCCCGCGCGTAGAGGGTAATCTTCTGACGTTTTAGTTTCCCCCTCCAGCAGGCGCGCCGGAAGCAGTTTGGGATTGGGGGGGCAAACATTCCAGGGGGCTCACTTTCCAGGGGCAGTGACGTAATGAGAAAAAAAGTTCGGAAGGGGGGGGGGGGGGCAGACGAAAAATCTGCATCACCACCAGTCTTACACGTTACATGCAGGTCCCGCGGAACGTTTTTCAAAGTGGAGTATTATCGATCAGGTAGAGCGTAAATTGGCGTGGGGTCCAGGGCATGAGCCTCAGCAGGGGGTCAAGGGGCTGAGCCCCCAGAAGCTCAGGGGTTTTAGGTATTGAATTACGGTTAGATGAGCATCCAGGGGCCCTCTGTAAGGCAATTGATGTGTTCCAAGGGGGGGGGGCAGAGCCCCCTGAAGCTCAGGGGTTTTAGGTATTCAAATAATGGTCAGATGAGCATCCAGGGCCCGCCTTAGGGCCCTTGGTGAGGTCCAGGGGGCAGAGCCCCCGGAAGCTCAGGGGTTTTAGGTATTTAATTACGGTCAGATGAGCATCCAGGGCCTGCCTTAGGGCCCTTGGTGGGGTCCAGGGGGCAGAGCCCCCGGAAGCTCAGGGGTTTTAGGTATTCAAATAACGGTCAGATGAGCATCCAGGGGCCCGCCTTAGGGCCCTTGGTGAGGTCCAGGGGGCAGAGCCCCCGCAAGCTCAGGGGTTTTAGGTATTTAATAACGGTCAGATGAGCATCCAGGGGCCCGCCTTAGGTCCCTTGGTGGGGTCCAGGGGGCAGAGCCCCCAGAAGCTCAGGGGTTTTAGGTATTTAATTAAGGTCAGATAAGCATCAAGGGGGCCGCCTTAGGGCCCTTGGTGGGGTCCAGGGGGCAAAGCCCCGGAAGCTCGGGGGTTTTAGGTATTAAATTACGGTCAGATGAGCATCCAGGGGCTAGCCTTAGGTCTCTTGGTGGGGTCCGGGGGTGGAGCCCCCGTAAGCTGTGGGGTTTTAAGCATTTAATTACGGTCAGATCAGCATTTTTTATACCTTATTTGTGACATTGGCAGGTCACTTTTTTTTTCGGCAGCCCAGCCACTTTGCAGACCATGACATAAAGGCTTCTGAATAAGCGTATTTCGCCTGACTGTAATGTGGGAATTTCTTATTTTCCAACAAACGCATAAAAACGTATGACTTACAAAAAAAATGGAGAAAAAATGCCGGAAATCATGTCACAACATCAACATTTGTAAATCACTTGTTTCGAATAAGAAATACGTAACCCC